CCTAAATTGCAAATATGTTGCATCTGGAAGTAAAAGAATAATATAAATATTAATAAAACCACCTCAGTGAATAGAGGTAGAAGAGGATCTCATAAAGCATGTATCATTTGAAATGGATCTTGAAGGTTGTGTAGCAGTTTTTCAGGTGAATGGTGGGAGGTCATTCTATGCAGACAGAATGCATTGTGCAAAGGCACATGACATTGACTATAGAGTGTAAGCTAAAGATGGAAAGGAGGGGTTCAAGGACAAATTGCAGTGGGCATTTTGGAGTAAGCTGAAGCATTGGGCTTCCATAACACAAACCTATAGAGGTTTTAAAGCAATGGAATGATATGATTAATGTGTCTTTTAGTAGTATGTAGGATATCCTGGAATAGGAAGAAATTGATGCCAATGTCCTGGACTCTCAATGCCTTTTGAATGAAATTGCTCTGAGCATATCCCCTGCTTGAGTGTGTATTTTAGTTATCTGTCAAATGATGATCAGGACTGTACACTGAATGACCCTAAAGGTTTTCTCTGGGTTTCCTTGCAATGAGCTACCTGCAACTAGTGCTTCTCCATAGTGGTAGCATCTAAACATAGCCTCACTTCTGACATGGTACCCAAATGCTATCAGCTTGGGAGAGCAACTTCCCAAAGTAACTGGTGACCAATTCCAGATTGTTTCTCCCTTATTTACAAGGACACTACCATACTTTCCCTATAAAAAGGAAGAGTAATATGGGGGTAGGATCCCACTTTCTAAAGCACAAAAATGGTACATCAAAATAGCCCAAATATATCTCTCTTCAGGATGAGATCTTGCTGGTGTGTTTCAGAAGTCTCTTTGTCCAAAAATATTTCAAACTCTACACACCTGATTGGACCAGGGGTAGGTCAACCCATACGTTGTTCACTAGCTGACAATTCATAGCCTAGAGTAACAAGGTGATTTGTATCATTGACATTCTTCCTTTTGGGGCAATGAAATAGGGAGTACTAAAAGGCACTTGACCATTTAGCAGCAGGAGCAGTTTTTGGAAGAGTGTCAAAAAGTGAGTGTCAAAAAGTGCAAATCCAAGCCAAGTATAATAGAAGCTAAGAAGGAGCTGAAAAAAGGAGAATGGGCCAATGTGCAGAGAGAATGGAGACCCCAGGAAAGGGAAAGTAAGAGTACTCAGCCTCCATACCTGTCTTAGGTTTTTTTTTGGGGGGGGGCGAGGTTACATGGAGGAATTCCAAATTAACTTTAAAGTCCCATAAATTATTTCTATCATTTTTCCACTAGCCTATTCCCTTGGACATTTTCCTTTAAGTTACATGAGTAGAATTCTGTTCTTTACTCTTTGTAAGCCTTTAGAATGCTATGGTAGCTATTGTTTTGGGCTTCCTGAAAAGCTTTCCACCACTCTTACCTTGTAGTAAAAGAGTCTGATCCCTGGCCACAGGGAAGAAAGGTGGACATGTCAAATAGGCTTTTAGAAATATAAGACTGAAACTGGAGTGAGAGTTTGGGCTGGAAAGAGATCATCATCATATAGATAAAAACAAGGAAGTAATTTTTTTCTATTAGTTTTTATTTTAATTCTAGTTAGTTAACATACAATGTTATCTTAGTTTCAGATGTACAATATAGTGAATCAATACTTCCATATATCACCATATGTTCATGATGACAGGTGCACACCTTAATCCCCATCACCTATTTAACCCATCCCCCTACACACCTCCCCTCTGGTAACTATCAATTTGTTCTCTATAATTAAGAGTCTGTTTCTTGATTTTTTTCCCTCTCTCTCTGTCTTATTTTTCCCTTTGCTTATTTGTTTTGTTTCTTAAATTCTACATGAGTGGAATTATATGGTATTCATTTTCTCTGACTGACTTATTTTGCTTAGCATTATACTCTCTCGCTCCATCCATGTCATTGCAAATGGCAACATTTCATTCTTTTTTATGGCTGAATAATATTCCACTGTGTGTGTGTGTGTGTGTGTGTGTGTGTGTGTGTGTGTGTGTAATCACCTCTTCTTTATCCATTCGTCAATTAATGGATATGTGGGCTGCTTCCATGTCTTGGCTATTGTAAATAATGCTGCTATAAACATAGGGGTGCATGTATCCCTTTGAATTAGTGTTCATGTATTCTTTGGGCAAAAATACCCAGTAGTGCAATTAATAGATCATAAGGTAGTTCTATTTTTAACTTTTTGAGGAACCTCCATACTGTTTTCCACAGTGGCTGCACCAGTTTGCAGTGCAAAAGGGTTCCCCTTTCTCTGTATCCTTACCAACATCTGTTGTTTCTTGTTTCTTTGTTGTTTCTTGTATTTTTGATTTTAGCCATCCTGACAGGTATAAGTTGATGCCTCATTGTAGTTTGGATTTGCATTTCCCTAATGATGAGTGATGTTGAGCATCTTTCATGTACTGTTGGCCATCTGGATGTCTTCTTTGGAGAAATGTCTGTTCATGTCTTCGGCTCACTTTTAATTGGATTATTTGTGTGTGTGTTGAGTTTTATAACTTCTCTATATATTTGGATACTAACTTTTTATCGAATAAGTCATTTGCAAATGCCTTCTCCCATTCTGTATGTTGCCTTTTAATTTTGGTGATTGTTTCCTTTGCTGTGCAGAAACTTTTTATTTTGATATAGTCTCAATGGTTTATTTTTGCTTTTGTTTCCCTTGCTTCAGGGGACATAACTAGAAAAAAGTTACTACAGCCAATGTCAAAGAGGTTACTGCCTGTGTTCTAGGACTTTTAGGGCTTCATGTCTCACATTTAGGTCTTTCATCCATTTTGAATTTATTTTTGTGTATAGTGTAAAAAAGTGGTCCAGTTTCATTCTTTTGCATGTTGCTATCCAGTTTTCCCAATACCATTTGGTGAAGAGACTGTCATTTTCCCATTGGATATTCTTTCCTGCTTTGTCAAAGATTAATTGACCATATAACTGTGGTTTATTTCTGGATTTTCTATTCTGTAGTATTGACCTGTGTGTCTTTTTTTGTACCAGTACCATACTGTTTTGACTACTATAGCTTCAAGTAGCCCAGCAAGCCAAGTGTGCCTCCAGCTGCACTTTCACACACTGTTTTTTTCAGCAGCGTTTATTTAGCACGGGAGAGACAGAGCATGAACGGGGGAGGGGAGGAGACACAAGTCGAGGAAACAGGCTCCAGGCTCTGAGCCATCAGCCCAGAGCCCGGCAGGGGCTGAACTCAGGACGACCGAGATCGTGACCTGGCTGAAGTCGGACGCTTAACCGACTGCGCCACCCAGGCGCCCCTGCTTTTCTTTTTTAAGTTTGCTTTGGCTATTCAAGTTTTTTTGTTGGTTTCATATAAATTTTAGGATTGTTTGTTCTAGCTCTCTGAAAAAAAAATGCTGTTTGAATTTTGATAGGGATTGCATTAAATGTACAGATTGCTTTGTATTGCAAAGTAAGGTTTTTAAGTTTATTTTGAGAAAGCGAGAGAGAGAGAGAGACAGAGAGAGGGAGAGAGAAAATTCTAAGAAGGCTCTATGCTGACAGCATAGATGTGGGGCTCGACCTCACAAACCATGAAATCATGACCTGAGCCAAAATCAAGAGCCCCACGCTTCACCAAATGAGCCACCCAGGTGCTCCCTGAAGGGAAGTAATTTTTATAGAAAACTTCCAACATATTAGGTACTGGCACATTATATATATCAATACCAATTAATTTTGATACATCCAAGGATGTATTGACAGAGGAGGGAACTGAGGTTTAAAGAGTTTAAAGTGGCTTAGCCACTGTCATGCAATGGGTAGGGGTCAGAGTGATCAGTCTACAAAGCCCATGCCCCTCCATCAACCCTGGGGTGCCTCCCAGTTTATGGGAGTTCAGGAGGTCTATCTTCTAGGAAGATATTAATGATGAGATCAAGACTTGGAATTCTGGGGCACTCTAGCTCTTGAGAAGAGGAGCTAGCCAAAGAACAGGGAAAGACCCACCGTGGTGCTATGGGTGTGGGTGAGTACTTTGAAAAGCAAAAGGGTGTTCAGCCGTCAAATGGTTCAAAAACATCAGGAAGGATGAGGAGTGAATTGGATCTGGTAATTAGAAGCTCAAGTGTGACCTTGGTGAAAACCAATTCTGCTGGTGCTGAAAGTAGAAGCCAAGTTTAAAATTTTTTTTTAATGTTTATTTATTATTGAGAAACAGAGACTGAGCATGAGCATGGGAGGGGCAGAGAGAAGGGGAGACACAGAATCTGAAGTAGGCTCCAGGCTCTAAGCTGTCTGCACAGAGCCGGACCAGGGGCTCCAACTCACAAATCCTCACAAACCTGAGATCATGACCTGAGCTGGAAGTCAGACGCTTAACTGATTTAGCCACCAGGCGCCCCAGTATAAGCCAGGTTTTAATGAGCACACAAGTTCATAAGAATTGAAGGAGTGAGGAGTGTCAGTAGACCGTATTGAGTATGGGCTGTGACAACAAGGTTAGGAGCCAATAGTGATGGCATACCTCAGAATTTGGAATTCCAAGGAGGAGCAGGCATGAGGGATTAGCAGTGGATAGAGCAGGATAGAGTGGGCGCCTTTTGAAATAGGAACTAAGGAGGTAAGAAAGGAGTCATAATTGGTAGGTCTGTGCATGTGTGAGAAATTTGGGCAGTTTATACGGTTGAAAGTGAAATCTACAAAAGTAAAAATAAAGGATCAGCTGCAGCACATATTGGAAACCCCTGTAAGCTTACAAATTCCTAATTTGTTATCCCTCTTTTACAGATTCGGTACTTCAGGTTCAGTAACTTGATCAAAATCAAATTGCAAAGACCAACTCATGACCGCGAAGTTCTTAACTAGGTTGAAGTCAGCAGTAACGACCTCGCCAGCGGCCGGCGGCCCGGGACACGGCTGGAACTACACTTCCCAGTGTGCCAGGCTGGGCGGGGCGCGAGCGGGGAGGGCGCAGGCTCCTTCCCAGAAGCAGAAGCGGAAACAAAAGAGTCTCGCCGGCGTCCCCTCCCGCACACTCGCGCACACTCGCGCTCGGGCGCACTCGGAGCAGGCACCGGCTGCCGGAGCGAGTTGGCGAGCAGCGAGCCGGGGACCTGCGGGGTTGATCCAGCCGAGCGGAGAGCGAACAGAGCCCACGACGACCCTACGTCCCCGAACCCTGCAGCCGTCCCCAACCGGCCGGTGTCCCCGCCGCCCTCCCTGACCCATGGCGCTGAAGAGGATTCAGAAAGTGAGTGCGGAGGCCAGGCCTGGAGCGGCGGGGTGCGCTTCGGCTCCCTGTCCACACTCACCAGGGCGATGGTCCCGAAAGACGCGCTGAGAGGGCACGAGATGGGAGGGTGGGCGGGGATCCGGCCAGAGATGCCGGCCCGGCCAGAGGGCACTGGATAGGTGAGGTGGGAGCAGGTCCCCGGTGGCCGGAGGTGTTTGGAGGCGGGGGCCCCGCTGCGGGCTCGCGCAGGAGCTGAGCCGGGAGCCCTAGGGTGGAGATCCTTCTCGGGCTTCAGACCTTCCCGAAATCTGTGCCTCACGGTCACGACTGGATTTTGCCCTATACCGGTCTAGTTTTGGCCCCTGTCATGCTGTTTCTTAAGCGCGTTCTCTTATGTTCTTGCTTCCCCGGGCTCCGGGAGAGGGCAAGGAAGGTGTGGTGGGCCTGCAGCCTTTCTCCTCGGTACTGTGGGTTTGTTCTTTTTCTCCTCTGCGGTTGGCTCCTGCTCAGATCCCCGAACGGGCTGGAAAAGCCCATTTGGGGCCCAGAAGCCAGGAGAAGCCTCTTTGCCTCTTCTATTTTGGTACCTCTTCTGCTGCCACTTCAGGTCACATAGCTGTAGTGAAAACATAGTTGCTGATACACAACAAGATGACCTCCTGGCTGTGATTCATCGTGAGTCAAGCCAAACAGGTTTTTTACCCGTTATGATAAACTTACATGTAAAGTTCGAAACACAAAGAAACTGCCACAGTTTAAGTTGTTTGATGCTTTGACACATGAGTATAGAATGAAGAAGAAATGTGTATGTTCATTCGACAAATATTTATCCATTCCAACTCTGTGTAAGGAATTATCTTCTCTTGCATAATACTGTATTTATTGCTACTGTTTCAGATGTGGACATCCCACAAAATTGGGGTTGGGGCATTTTTTTTCTGTTCAATTTTATTTTTTGTTGGGTTATTGGTCTGTTCACTGACACAAGTTTTAAAAAGGTTTTATAGCTATAGTTTATGTGGAGAACACTGAGAATTTATATCTTAAATGGGGAATGTTTCAGCAAGTTAAGCCAACAACAGACAGCATGCCTTGTAAATAATTTTAGAAGAAATCAGTGCTACAGAAAATTTTTATTAGGTTTTTCAGGCATGAAGTGATAGAGATATATATACATTGTGCTGTCATCTTCTAGTACAGAGGACAGCAACTTTCAGGTCCAGACTTTTTTGTTGTTCAAACACTGAATCTGTAAAATACTGTGTTTGTGTGTGTGCGTGTGCCATTTGAGGGTCTTTCACTATAAAACTAACATCATTAAAACTAACTAATTAACTTTCACTATAAAAGCTAACACTCCACATCTATTGATTAATGTTTTCTGATTTGAAGATAATGCAATTATACATTCAAAATTATCCTAGTTTTGAAGCCCTAATCAGCATCTTTGCCATGCCTTGTATACTTACAAATGATGATGTAATACTGGCTTACATTTGAATTAAACAACACACATGTTCCAAGGAAGTTTTAAAATTCCATTTCCTCCTTTCCTACTTGTGACAATTCTTCATAAGACTTTGCATATACCATTGCTTTTAAATAATGTAGAATTTGTCCACAGCAAGTAGACAAAGAAAATGGACACTATTTGTGAATACTTTACTGGGCAGTTGTCAGTCACCATGCTGAACCAATGTATTTGGCTTATATTTAGAATATGGAATACACCCAAATCATATTTTTAATTTATAACAGAGTTGCCTGGTAAAAAATAAAATCACATAAAATTGATGTTAGGCCTGTAACAAATTGATATTTTGGAGAATAAATTGGGGATCACATAATGTTGCATCTCTATGTGTCAGTCTTTGGCTTTCCTTTTTTGTTATCAGAAAAGTTGACTTGCACAAATCTCCCTTTCCACTAGTCACATGTTCCATTCCCTCAAACTTTAAGGGGTGTTATTTTGTTTGATTTCCCACTTTTCTTACTTTTCACACCTTGATTAGAAACCAGTTCCAGGTAAGGTGTGCTGTTTGCCTTATGAACAGTAACAAAGCCTTTTTTTTTATATCATCAGTATATAAATTTATATTTGAATCTTGGCATGTTCCAACCAAAGAAGATGAATGTTAACTTTTGGCCTTTCTCTGTAAGTGTATGAAAATAACACTATCCAATACCTTCCAGGTCATTGGGTTGTGATTTTCCTTTCCTAAAGTGGCAGACCTTAAAGTTGTGTAGAACTACTGAGAACTCTGCATTTTGGAGTTGAATGGAGGGTAGGGGCAGCTTCAGAATAGCTTTGGAACTGCTTCTAGGGTAGCGTATTAGAAATAACTGTGGGACGTTTTCAGACTGTCCCCACTGTTGTAAATGGAAAGATGTTGAATCCCTTAGATAGGCTGGGGTGGAAAGAAGGTTGAGGATTATTATTCACAGAAGGAACCTGAGGCCAGGAGTGAAGGAATGCTTTGTTTAAGTTAATCTCTGAAGAAGTGACTTGAGAATGTTGAAAAAGTCATGACTTCACATTTCTTTACCTCATGTGAAAAGATTAAAGATGGTTGAATTAAAATTGTATGTATATACGAAGCATGTAGATATCAATGCTTAAAATATATTTTTATAGTAAAGTATGCTAAATGACTTAATACTCTTATTTAGACATCCAGTGCCAGTTTGCATTTCAGCTCATAAATTTACACACCCATGCCCTATTTTTTGATACAGTAGAAGATGTTATCACAGTCACCTAAATCACTAAAGGGAGAAAGTTTGGACAAAGTCTGAGGAAAGATACCTAAGATATATTTGAAAAAAGAGGATAGTTTTTTAGCTGGGCATCTATTATTTTCTAGAATTATTTCTAAGTGTTTCTCTTATCAATACTATGTTTAATCCTTGATAAGCTTTTGTTGGAAATCACTTTTAAAATTATGAATGTTATGTCATAATACTGCATGTTTTGAAAACCAGAAGAAAAACAGGAGATCCTAATATAGTCATTATTATCATCTTAGTATATTTTTTTCTAGATTTTTTTTATTTGATAAATTGAAGTTATGATCATCATACTATCATGATATGATATTATTGCTTTTTTGGTCTTTTGAAAAGTGAAACAAAGAAGTTTTGTTTTGCAAATATAGCAACACAGATAACTACTCCTTAGTGTATAGTTCTATCCTCAAAATGGAATATTTGCTTTTTTAATAGTAATTTGACTTAAACTTCTTATGTAAGAAGATTAAAATACAACTTTATAAATGTTTTGAGCTGCTGAATTTTTTTATTTGTACAATTCCACAATATACTCTTTATATCAGTCTGGGAGAGCTTAGGATACTTAAAAAAACAACCAAACCCTTTGTGGATAGAGCATCAAAGAGAAGAAGATCTGTTTTTTTATTTCTCGCTCTGTGACTTACTAGTCTGTTTCCCTATCCATATAATGATACTGTAGCTAAGTACAACCAGCATGTAATATATAATGATTACTCTGTGATAGATGCTGTTCTAAGTGTTTGACATATATTAATTGATTTAACCATTAGTGAATCCAAGAAGTTGAAATAATTATTATCCCTGTTTTGCAGATGATGCAGCAGAGGCACAGAAAGTTGAGTAATGTATTGAGAATCACATATCTAATAAGTGGCAGTGCTAGGGTTCAAAACCAGGCAGTTGGCTTCAGATTCCATGCTATTAACCATTTTAGTACATGGCTTTTCTTATCCAAATGGACTTATATCTATTGTATTTAAATTGATAGACATATAGAGTCAAGTGAGTTTATGGTCATGATTTGCAAACTGGACTATTCTATACATATGTAAAGTGGTATTTAAACTTTGGCATATTTAATCATTTTCAGTGATGCATCACACTGTGTTGTGCATTTTAAATCTCTGGTCTCAAGTAACATATGCTGAATCATTTAACATGGTAAATGAGTAATATAACTTTGTTTATTCTTGTTCTATCACTTAAAATTTTTCTCCTCCAAAGGGATTTAGAATAATTGTTTGGAATTTATAAATATTCTGTCAAAGTATCATTTCATTGTGAAGTTTTCATTTGAGAAAACTATTTATGAACTGATACAGCTGTTTAGTCCCTCTAGTGGCTTTGAGTAGCAGTCGACTGTTCAGATGACACAAATATGTTAGGAAGACTTGCAGATTACAAGATTAGGTCTAGGACTCCAGATTCTTTCAGTAAAGAAGGATACAACTTTGGGGCACCAGGGTGGCTCAATCTGTTAAGCATCCACTTTGGCTCAGGTCATGATCTCACAGTTCGTGGGTTTGAACTCCACGTCAGGGTCTGAGCTAGAAGCTCAGAGCCTGGAGCCTGCTTTGGATTCTGTCTCCCTCTCTCTGCCCCTCCCCCACTCATGTTCTGTCTCTGTCTCTCAAAAATAAATAAACGTTAAAAAAAAGGATATAATTTTAACAAAAATTTTAGAAAGGAAGAACACAGTATTTATGCTTCTTGGTAGATGAAGTGGTTTTCCTTGAGATGAAAGGAAGAAAGTGTTCTTTTTCTAAAAAGCCACAATGTCAGTTTTTTTGGCTTCTAAATCTTTGCAATTAAGCTCAATCTTCCTTTTACCCTGGGTATCATGTATTTTTCTTTCTTAATCACAACAAAAGTGTAAAAAAAACAAGATAACCTATTATAGGTAAAGAGTTCTGAGGTCCTTCTCTGTGGAAATAAATAGCATAGATCTAAATGAAGCTGTTTATGCCTATTTTAGGAAGCCAAACACATATTATAAAAACCAAGTTAGCAGGATGTGGGATTGCCCCCACTAAAGCAGAGTAGCATCCTTACATGCTTTAGTTCCCTGAAATACACATAGAAAGCATATTTAATGAGTGCTACTAATCAAAATAATAAGCCTGATACTTTCCATCAAACTGAATTAATGGTTGTCTATGACGTATTAGCTCTCCTGTCTTCCCACCTTCTTTTTAACAGTGGGTGAACTGATATTACATTAATTAAAA